AAGATTATTCAATATGGCAAATATGCCAGCAATCTCTTGGCAGCAGCCTCAGAGTGCCCACACTCAGTTATTAAGCATAAATAAGACATGGAGCGGGAAGGGGGGGGGGGAGAGATTTCTCCCTTGACAAAAGAAGTGGTCATTTGGCGGACAGGCTGTCAAATGAAATCAAGACGCCTGAATAACCTAGACAAAATTAAATCAAATTGTTTGTGTGTTTCTAAATCAGAATCACAGATACATAATTCCGTAGCCCACTGCAACAAAACCAACAAAGAGGCTTGTGGAACCTTGAGGTTTAAAGATTTATTCAGCATACATGGGCTGCTCCCCCATCATGGAAAAAATATGATTCTGATCATTTAAATAAAACATTCTCATAATTGGGGTGGCATGTAGTCCATGAAGTTGCAATTCCACATGTTAGAACAGGAAGGCTCTAAAAGGACGCAGGGAGAAAGCTATTGATCCGGCACCCCAAAAAGGATAAATGACATCTCCAAGACTGCCTCCAGAAAATATCAACAAGTGGAACAGAGTTTCACAGCACTTTCTCTTATTTCCATGGGCCTCTCCCTTTTTCTCTCCTCCCACTACACACTGTCTCACTACTCTGTTCTCTGCTGAAGAACTGGCTTGTCTGCCGAAAGAAACTAAGACACGTGTGGCTTTTAACAGATGTTGGGCTCTCATTGTCAAGCAAGGTCCAAGAAATTATTTTCCCTCAAACTTTAAAGATTAGTTACCTTCTTCAAGAAGCAGTTCTGAAAGGGATGCTCCAGACAGCCTGGCCTAATCACATAGGATCTCAGCAAAGGGGGTAAAGGGAGGGGAAGGGAGAAGTGGCCATCTCCTTTTTGGGACCGAGTTCAACTGCAGACTTTGTGATTTAACTTGGGGAAAGTTATTTTTCTTCTCTATCACATAGTTTTTGTTTCACTTTTGCGCAGTGAAGAATTCCGAAGAATTCAAACATTTACACAAAACTGCTGTGATGCTGTGATCAATCCCAGAAAAGGTAAAATCCCATATCTCTTTTTCCGCCTGACCTACCTCTCACAGGGTTGTTCTACGTTAACGAAGGGCAGAATACCAAGAACTATAAATACATTTTAGCAGCTCACTGGTACAAAGAGAGGACATAAATGCTAAGTAGTAAATAAACATCCAAGACTCTATGGAGGCTGCCAGAGGTGGGAACCTTTAAATCCTCCTTCTAGGGAGCAAGAGCATGTGAAAAGGCTGTTTTTAAAACATACACAGAAAAGGAAGTTTTGGGTGGGAAGTGAAGCTTTGGTTATCAAGCTCCACCGAACAAGACCACTTTGATTAGCCCCAAAGGGTGACAAGGGCTAGTTAAAACCACGCTCTCTTGTCTTCGTTGTTCTCAGAAATGTGCTCTGCCACCTCTCTTCCCCCTCCCTCTCTCTTCCCTTCCGGATCTAATCAATGGGGTGTGGCTCTTTTGGCTGCAGAGACAGAGATACTCAAACCAGGGGAAGAAACCTTGGTGTCACAATTTCATCCCGATTCTTAGGTCATCAAACCTCAAGGCACCATCCCGTTTGCCTGAAATCAAGTGGAATCTGGTCCCAGCAGGACAGAAGGGTGTCTCATGCTGGTGGCACTTAAAGAGTGATCAAGGCTCATACTGCCATGCAGTTCTACAGCGAACCTACCTCTGAAATCAGTCCAATGGGTGAAATAGGTATAAGACCTATTCTTAGAAGACCTAGTCTGACTTCCTTATTCACTGAGAAGTGAAGTCTGTAATTTATCATCCAGGAGGACACCATTCAAATCACAACCTTATAACCAATTAGCTGGAGTTACGCCCATTTAACTAAGTGGAGCTCCTTCTGAGCACTGCTTAGTAAGGGAGGTGACAACCGACAATTCTCCAAACAATTCAACCTTCGCCAGTTTGTGATTCATCTCAGATCCACAAATCTTTCTCCCTGTATCTCGAAGGAGCCTCGGTTGCAAAACCTCTTAATCAGATGAGACTGCTTCTCCCCCACCCACCCCTTCTTTACACTAACCACTGTCTGCACTGCAGAAAGTGCGAGGTTACAGCTATACTGTTTATATAACGGATCTTATTCTACATTTGGCATATGTATGATAAGCCATCTACATAAACACAGCACTCCCACGCTGTAAAGTCATCCTGCAGGGCGGCAGAATCCTATACAAATCAACTACGCCACTCTATCCTATACAAATCCACTTACTTCAACAGGGCTTACTTCCAAATTAAGCTGCAGCATGAACACCTTCCAATCTCAAAATCAGTTTCACTGGCACAAATGGGTTTGACTTTGAGGCTTTCTAGCTGGTTGCCTTTTCCGAACAGTCTTTGCCTTGTCAAGAATGCTGTAGTTCCTTTCCTCCCTTCATGGATCTAATTCTGCCTATACTTTGAGCTCTGGAGGAAAGGAGACTATAGAGCGACACGTAACAGAAATGTGAGGGCAAGAGGGGAAGGAAGAATGGAAACCCCCCCCCAAAAAAAACTAGCACATGTCAGGTCCAATTCTCCAACATTATCTGTTTGCTGAGGCTTAAAGCACTGATCCATTCACAGTGTTCTTCCTCAGTTTTCTCCCCTCCCCCATGAACAAGAAGTACCCTATGGAGTCAGACGAAGTTTGACTACAACTTCCAGAATCCCCCAGCCCAAAGTTACTCATTGAATTACAACATCCAGACACCTCTCCCCGCACAATCTATCATTTAGATGGGGTTCTAGAGTGATAGTCCAAAACTTTCCTAAACTCTGGGAGAATGAAGCTGGGAAGGCTATCTCAGCTCGACAAAGGGCCACATCGATTCCACGGAACAAGAGAACAGCTCTTCTGACACCTCCCCAGATCTCCCAATTCCCTTCGTCCTGATTCACGGATTCAGGATGAAGGTGGTGTGTGTATTATTCTGGTTTCCCTCCTGCGGAGATGCAAACGTACCCGTGTATACAAGTCCTCCTCTCCACAACTCACGGATTCAGGATGAAGGTGGTGTGTGTGTGTGTGTGTATTATTCTGGTCTCCCTCCTGCGGAGATGCAAATGTACCCGTGTATACAAGCCCTCCTCTCCACAAGATCACAGCACTTCTGTGTTTCCTTTGCTCCCCTCGCACCTCACTGTGTCCATATTCTGAGAGATTTCCACTCCAACCCCACCGGTGGAAGAGCAAAAGATGTCAAATCCAGGTTAATAATGACAACGTACCACCTCTGTCTCCCCTCTCACTTGCACCTCTTTCACAGATAGAAAGTAAAGGACGGGCGAAATTATAGAGACACAGGGCTGGGGGCAAATTCTCCATTCCCTCTTTGCATCTTTTCTCGGCCCACTTTTATTCTTTAGCCCCGAGTTTTTAACTCTAACAACCTTAATCTCCGAGCAACAAGCTTTCGGCCATAAAACGAGGAACTCTGTGTAATGCCAAAACTTACACACCCTGATACTGACAGAATTAAGCGGTCACCTCACCGGTTGTATAGATCTTCATTTACTCAAGTATCTCTGTTGTCTACTAACAGTTTTTCACCTTTTCCTAAAGTCTCCTTTTAAATCTCCTCTTACTTGCAAGCGAGGTCTCCTTCAGAGGAGCAAAACACTACCAATTCAAGCATCACAGCCCTTATTCATCACAATGTAAATCTCCTAATATTCTGATTTTTATTCAGCTTTCTCTCTACTGTACTGGAATGATTGCAATTAAGAAGAAATCTACCAGAATCGGTTGCTATAAATATCCCCAACGCTTGAACTAGCCAGAATCCCAAACCTGTCTACTTAAAAGTAAATGTCTCAGAACTCCGTTTGATTTATTCCCAGGCGGTTAGGTTTGGAAAGCTTCGGGTACACTTATTTATACATCCTGCTGTGACACACCTTTCAATGAGATGTGAAATTAGGACCCTAAAGGGAAATCGGATCTATCCTAATCTACACCTCCAAGAATCGTATGTTAAGGATCTACTTTTAGGGATCCCAAACCCTAACACTGACACCCGATCCTATTAATTATGTCTACTGGCGGTCTTAAGGGCATCCTTTTACTGCCCTTTCCTCACTTGCAAATGAAATATGCGATCCTCGACGACAAAAATAGATTCAGATGGAAGTCTAAATCTCGATCCGGATTGACTCCGGCCTTGGATCGTGTCTTTTTTTCTTTTAAACCGCTGCCACCGACGAGAAAGAAAATGCTTCCTTCTCCGTGGACGGCAATGCCCGCTGGTCCACCTGCCTCCGTCTGGAAGGCGCAAGCGATGCCAACCAGAAGTCGGACACGTGGCCAGGCGGAAACTTTTGACACATTCTCGCCGACTACTCTTAGGCTATCTCGACACGCCAGGGGGGGATTAACGCTCCCCTCCGCCGCTCTCCCAAACCCATCAACAATTAAAATACCATTATTGGAGCGGTGAAAGAAATCCCGCCAGCTCCTGATCCGACAATAACTGGGCCCTTCCTTTCCCTTCCAAACCCGATGCCTGTGGCATTTCATCAAGCCAGTAAAGGGTACAACTGCCTGGCCCAGAAAGAAACCAGAGGTAGCTGCGGTTCCACCTAACCCAAATGAGTTTATTCCATCTGTCTTTCCCAAAAGGCATGGTTAGGATAGTGAAAGAAATCCCGCCAGCTCCTGATCCGACAATAACTGGGCCCTTCCTTTCCCTTCCAAACCCGATGCCTGTGGCATTTCATCAAGCCAGTAAAGGGTACAACTGCCTGGCCCAGAAAGAAACCAGAGGTAGCTGCGGTTCCACCTAACCCAAATGAGTTTATTCCATCTGTCTTTCCCAAAAGGCATGGTTAGGATAGTAGATCGCTATCGCCCGCCCCCCCTCCCGTTATCAGCTCCTTCGGAATCAGTCCCTTCAGGGGGGGGGGGGTT